TCAGGCTTACATGGGACTAATAACATAAATAGTGAAAAGTGGGTGTTACATTGTAGGTACAGTGGCATAATTTGCACCTCTGCCTACCCCTTCGGGAATGAAAGGCGTGATGTTATGTTACTTATTCATATTCGATAATGGAGTCAAAAATGCCTATTCAAGCTAGCTTGATCTCCTGTAGGTATATATAAACTTTAGGTACCTAATAGATTTTGAAAAGGCCATAAAATATCATCGTATTATTCAACTTCATCATAATAATTGATTTTGGAAATAATATTCTCAACATAATGGTTCCCGCGAAATATTTAGGTACGAGTTCACGATATTAAGTCCAGGGTCGACTGAACTTAACAATTGTGGTCTTGATAACCATCCTAATACCGATTTTGAAACCCGAGTAATATTTATTAAACAACACGATCTCAGGTGATGACAAGGTCTTAAACCGCGTATTAAGTTTTGTTTATTAATATGTCGGAATATCAAACAGGATCTTAACATCTCGCTCTTACGCTGATATCGGTTTATTAATACGGGCCTACATGTGATTGCAACATCAGCAACCGCAGTCGCGTGCATCACGCCGTGCCTACTAACCGTACCATAGATCCGCGTAACCTAATGTCTCAATAACATCATTATTGACATATCGAAATATTATTTTTATTATTTTGACATATCACCATTCATAAATTCAATATTCCCTATTTATCTCTTTTCTCTTTCAGTAAATTTTCACGCTCACTGAATTCATACTTATTCATTTACTCTGACTGACACCTATTTGGTTCGTGGCAGTAAGCTTTATTAAAAGTAATGAACTTTTCACATGTCGTTTATTCCCCTTCATTGATGAAGACTGATGAGGATAGGCACATTCAGTTTAAACGTTTGGTGTTTTGTCGATTCTATATTATTGATCAATGTCCGGATCTTAATGTGGAGTGGAGAATCAACACGCAAGCCACGGACTGGCCAAACGAGTTATGTTATAAATAATTAATTAATATTTGGCCGGCGAACTCTTTGTGGCTTCAAGGTCGTGACGGCTGATCTTCAGTATTAGTCAATTGGCTTTTTAAGTTTTTTGTAGATTCATTCTTATTTGAATACCAATTTGTGTCAAATGCTTCGAGTTTGGACTTGAATCTTTTTAATGATAATGAACCAAAAAGACGAGTAAATTCTTTGTTACATTATTCAGCATTCTAGATTTTGCAACAGTTCTTTTTTTATAGTTTTAGTTTTTTCTTTAGACTTAGATAAATGTTGCTTTTTGTTTTACATTTTGCCGTTTCTGTGTCTTAGTTATAAGCCGTAGATACTATGGTAACCTAAGTAATAATATTGTAGACAATTTATGTTAAGTAAGTCACTAGTTAATGTTACACCATTACAGCTAAACGGCAGGTTAAGGTTATATTATGAATGAGAATTGAATGGCCCCATCGCTCATTTTATTGTCACATCAATTGCATGAATATATAAAGTTAACGAATTTATTATAATAAAGTTCCATCATTAATAAGTAATTTAAAATCGTTTGTATTTAAATAGAAACCAACAAATGCCAATAATTTTAATGTCAGCATCAACAAATTTACAAACCTGTCGATCTAGTAATATGTAATTCGTTATGAATATGTAAACTTGTAAAGTATTTAAATCGATTCCATTTCTACAAGGTTCGTAATGAATTAGATAATGTTGAATAATTGTTAATACCATAGGTTATAGACTTCTGTTGTGTATTATCGTTCATAATTATTATGATCGCTTTTGTATATCTGTAGCGCAGATAGTTATCCTTGTCATTGTTTTCAAAGAAATATATTTGATACGGTTATTAAATTTAAAAATTGCGTATTATATGACACACAAAACTACTTATTTAACAATTTACACTAAATTAATGCTGCTAACAAAATATAATTTAAATTCGACCTCCATTTGCACAAAAGACATTAAAATTTAAATACAGAAGTGGTTTCTGCTGCTGCGGCCTTGTTGTCGAGTTCATTGTCTTACTTCATCTCACGTCTAATGAACACTAGATATGTGAAGCAACTACTGCACAAAACCATGGAATGCAATGGATTCAAATAAAAAGCCCAGCCTTCCTAACGTAGGAACTACATTAATATGGAGCTATTTTTTTTATTTTATAATGAAAACGATGATATCACGAAAGCTCCTACAAAGGTTATTTATTTAGTTCATCATTCATCTGTGTACAGTGTACATAGTTGAATAAATATAGTACTACATTTCTTATATTTAAACTAGATTAAGAATATACCAAGTGTGTAAAGTAACATGTACCTATTTACTAATTAAAACTTGAAACTGGTCTCGTCTGTGTCTGTAGTTTAGTACTTTTCCATGTGCAATGCAGAACTATTTTTATTTGGTACCAATGTAAACAGTAGCACGATACGCCAGCTGAATTAATGTCCCCAATTCAATTGAAGTGTTTCATTAGCACAAGTGGCCCCGATTGCTTCGTTGATCGAGCCCACTGGCCGACGATTGCCGCAAAACCCAGGCGCCATGAATACTTGCGCCCAACCGACACGTGATGATGATCTGTGTTTCTAATAAGGAAGTGGGCCTAGGATGAAACTTAAACGAATTATGACTAGTTTGCCATAATAAATTATTTCTGTTAATTCTTGTTTTGGCTTTAGATGAAGCATTAACTACTTGGCAGTTATATCATTTTAAAAACCTATATTTTCGTCCTGTGATACAATCTTTAACTTTATACCGTTTGCTTGAAAAGCGCCATCGTTAAGCCCCGTCGATCCGATTATGATGCCCACAACAAGTATAAAAGGCCGATGCGTGGTAACGAGTAAGTTATAAGGAGGTTTAAACAAATGAATAAATTAATGAATAAGACGACTATACAGCAACAATTGTGACAAAAGAATGTTCAAATAATTTTCGTTAGTTCCTTTTCACAAGAAAATTAGTTCCTTTTACGTCATATTGAATTAAAATCTTTTCAACTTATAACAATGTCAGCTCATTCGGTCAATAAGATTGTGTTGCTAAGTTCGTGATCCGCACAGACCTTCGCGCGCTGCCGGGTTCAATTAGAGATCACCCAGTTGCGTTAGAAACGTAGTCTCCTATTACCGGCTCGGGTCGTGACACCGCACGTCTAAACGTGGTGGCGTAATATCAGTATTGTTGTCAGTAATTTTCACGTGCAACTAACTTAGTAGTTAATTGTGTGGAATGAACACAAGTATATAGTTATTTGTACGTAACTAGGAGCGGAAAATGTGGGTATTATCGCTTATATCGCTACGTGTGAAGGACGTTTGCAAATTAATGCCATGTGTACATACCTATTATCGAAATTTCATTGTTCATAGCATTGGACCTGTTGGACCTGAACTATAAGTTGTCCTATTTTGAATGTTCTGTATCAAATAACGAGAACTAGTACCTAAAACCATATTTAGATTATCGTAGACAACATTGCAATAAATTCAAACCTGATACATAAACAACCTAATATTGATGTCGATCGTAATCATTTCATAACTGATTTATTAGAAGCTTGCACAACACTTGTGATAGCTAATAACCATGAAGTGTAGTCAGTTGCAATAAAAACACCATAAAACGTCCGTAAAGCAATAATTGTTGTATTACTCCTGTAATTAATTTTAATTATGAGTAGACCACCACTTGGCACACGTCGTGGAGTCAATCTATCCTGTCTAATATAATCAGTGCAGTTATATCGGGCCGTCTATGTAAGTTTTCCGGACGACTAGCGGAGTACGTTTTACTTTCTTATAGGAAGTGCTATCGCTTTCAACGGAGACCGGTTAAGAGTATCTCCTTGTTGAATATATTGGGCTAGTGTGTATACAAATAGCTCGGGAACTATCGCAACCAATTTATATATACTCGTTTCGTAAGAAATAAATAATAGTTTTACAGTCATAGGTCTATCTCGACTGCTGCAATTTTGCAAATAAAGAAATAGCAATTAACAATATTTAGCAAGCAAACGTTTATCAAGCAATAAGATAATAAAATAAAGCAATCAGTTATTGATTGTATTACAAAAAAAAATACATTAAGTAACAATCTTTTAAAATCACATTCTGGATTTATGAAGTCCCCCAATCTCACATTCCATTATGTTACATATTATTATTACCATTTTGTGTTTGGTTCCTCTTGTATTAATTTTTTATTTTCTTTTTCACAGGTGAGTCCCGATTACGAGTTGGATGAATTGGCGTTAATTGTAAGTTACGCTTATTAGGTCTATATTTCGATACACATTCAGTATGAACGTATACTTTTCATAATAGCAGAATTGTTGAATACTAATACGAAAGTGCCAAAAGTGTATCGAACCGTCATTCAATCGCTAAACATAATTAGGATATTTATGTTCATGGACTTGCCTACACTCAAACATCTAAGAACATTTAACACTAATCTGTTCTAAATAGCTCGCTGACAAGCGTTTGCAGAGCTATGATTAATCTTGGTAATTTAGTTAGAACAATTCCTGCTCAGAATTATTGCCTAACCCGTTTGTTAAGTATTAGAACTTTAGAACTGTAAGATAATCGTTACTGTTTAGGGTTACGAATACTCTAACAAACATGGACATTCTCAGAACAAGTTAGTACAGTTGTATATCGAGGCAATTAGACACTCACTTCAATATAAAGCCTCAAAACACAAAACCTCAAATAATAGACTGGTCTCGCCCACTACCATTCTTGTCATATAACATTGTGACTCAAAAAGGGCCAAAGATGCATTAGTCACAGAAAATGTTTAACTATGTTATTACCTTCGCGTGAGTCATACATGTTGAACGATTTGCGGGGAAAGTATAACCCGGTAGTGACGCAACAATAAAAATTATACGGACAAAGGAATTGTTGCAACTCTAGACCTGCGGCTGACGTAAGGGCCAACAGCTTGTCACTAATGACTGCGACACAATGATCAGTTGTCATGACGTTGCTTGCAGCCAAACTACGGTACGCAACATAAATACTAAGTGAGCTTGGTTTCAGTTTATTTTTATTCTGAAATCTGAACGTCGACCACTATAAAACGTCACAATCACAAAAAATATTTACCTGTCCGATTTCGCAAAGCAACCCCGAGCTGGTGGCGGCTCGGTGTCTTGCTATATTGTAACTATAAATAAGGAGGTGCTAAAAGCGGACCAGCCGGGGGACGTGCTTCCTCCGCTTTGAGCGGCCGGGGGGTAAACATACTGGAGTTGAACGAAGCCCTTTGTTGACATTTGCTTTACGGCCGCTTCACCTCGAGTCGCGAGCTTTATGGCCCGCGCGCAATAAACACCGCACCCGTAGCAAGTCCAGCGCCAGCGACACCGAGGTGAACGTCTGTATGCATGCGGCACGCCATCGCCAGGCCCACCCGCCATCGCCATAATAACACACATCACGTCTTGCTCACTGCTATGACACGACGCGAGACGCGGCACGGCACTATAAGTACGAGTATAATAATCCACCTAGGTATTTCAAAGTTGAATACTTAAACTTTATAGAGTAATTGCTACAGATAGCATTTAAGGCCTTACAGTGCGGTCTATTTATCCTTTATCTAACAGCAATCGTATCCAAAAAATATCTATGAGCTGAATTCTGAAAAGTTCGGGATAAACGCCATGGGATTTACCGGTAAACGGCTTAAGCGGAGGTTTTGCCTTCAACAGTTTTCTATTAGCAGTCAGTGAAGTTCATTTTGGAGATAATATATACGAGTAACACATATTCTGATAGATAATGTAGACGACCTCTAGTGTACACTACATTATGTAGTTACTTATTATTAACCTTACCAGGAAAGTGATGTAATTTTAAAAATTCTTCGAATCTTGTATCTAGTACTACGTGATTTCCTCTTTGCTATGTTAATGATTGCCTACTTACTTCTTCAAATACATTTCCATTGTTTCGTCTAATATAATAAACCAGCAGACAATCGTTTGGTAGGTGTTCGTAATATAAATAAAGAGGAGCGGTTGACATGTGATGGCATTTATACCTTAGCCGGTGTGTTCTCGCATTGCAATCACGGCGTGGTGTCCATCTGCATGCGTGCGGTACGCCCGGCGTCCGGTCTTACTCATCTAACAGTCGCTAACTATGTGAACTGTTGTGGATACGTTTACCATATTTTTATAATGCTGTGTACATACAGCCTAACTACCAATAAAGAACCATCTTCAATTTCTTGCCAAATAATTTATTATGTTAAGTTGTTTTACAACACTATTTTTATGGTACAGTCGATAACGCTTTATTTATTAGAATATCTAGAATATATTTGCTAATATTTTCATATTCTAAAAGTCTGGCCTAATCTAGAAACTGCGTACTATTGTTGAATGCAATAATAATAAAACACAGTGTAAGCACAGTGTACATGTGCTAATAAATAATCAAGCGACACTATCAGCCTGTTTTGAATCATATGGTGACCGTTTGGGCGGATGTCTGGACTATGTGGGAGAGCATTGAATCGCGTTACTTATTGCGTCGCTATTTTAACATGTTTAATATGATTGGTGTAAAGCATGGTTTGTAGACAGTGAAATAACCATAAGTTCAGAGATACGCGATGGTAGTGCGCTACACTAGCTACTCAGTGACACCGCGTGAATCACATAATATTCATCCATTGTTCACGATTTCGCATGAGCGCTCACGAAGCTGTAATTTCTATATTTCAAATATTTGAGGGAAATCTTGTGTCTCGTTCATTATTTTAACAACAGGAAAATATGTATGGGTAGCAATATGTAGCTGCTTTATGCAAACTGAAATAAACGACTTTATGCACCACCAAGGGGCAACGCCGTCAGACATTGAAAGGTTAATGACTACTGTGGTCATTATTACGAGATTGTTGTTAGGTCTCTGTCAGAGGGGACCGCAACATCTCGACTGTGATCGTTTTCGCGCAATCATTCAATAAACGTTATAGGATCAATCGCCAAGACCCTCGCTTGGCTCCTCAGAGAAATGAACCATTTGAAATAGTTGATACTCCACGTTCTTTGTATAGTTGCAATAGTTGGTTGAGCTTATTACTTTAAATTAAATTTTTATTCGAATCATAATACATTTACAAAATAATACGCTACTGAAACTGTCGCATCCATCTGTATACGTTTGTCCGTTACAGCATGTGTATTTGTCTGAGAGTTTCAAATCGTTAAAAGTTCATTTAAATATAGAACGCATTTGATTAGAACCAATTAACGTTCAATTAAGCAGTTCTCTTGTTTGAGTTATATAGTTGTATCAATTGTCGCAAGGCACTGTGTCTTAATGATTCGAATTCATGCTCGTTACGGTCCTTAGTCGGTTACGACGATCTAGCAAACTAACCACAACGAAACATCACTAAATACGTAAATGTAATGATTGTAATAAAGGTCAGGTTGGGATATTGTGAATGTGCAAGGCATAGGTTAAGGTTTTGAAGCGTTTAGTAACCGTGGCAACTTCTATACACCTTTTAAACCGTTTCCTTCACAATAGCAACACATTTGACTTGTTAAGTTTTTAAATCTGCTGGAAATAAGTAACCTGAATTCGCTTTCTTTGTTATTCGGTGCCATTGCCCTCAGAGGTTATCTGTAAAGAGAATATATTTAGCGAGACCTCGGTTCGGAAAGCATCGACAGTAAAGAAGAAGAGGTGTAAATTTTCAGTGATTGCCAACGTAAATACGCGAGCACACGCGGCGCGATGCTGGAGTTCGATAACCTTACTGACTAAACAGTTTTTCAATTTCCATTAATTGTTCATGAGTTTTTGTAGCAAGCTCCAAACTAAGGGAGACCTAAACTCGAACCCTGACGATTCACTGGCAGTACTTTGCTTTATAACAATTGACACAAGTAACAACAGTACGTTTTATTAGTCAGTAATGTCGTTGCCCTCGGTAGGTACGTTCTGGTATATTAACATCTGAATATTCGCCACTCATGTTTACTCTTTTAATATTTTATGACCGTATATTGAAATGCTTATGTCATTCTTTAGCTAAATATACCATCATTTACTGCAGTAGCAAAAGCCTGCTTTGTCTACTGCCAATAGATATTTGAATGCGTGTTACTTAATTTTACTCTTAAATGTAAATGTAATTGATACTTGGAGCAAAGCTTAAAATAGTATACGTATAGAATTATGCAACCTGGTGCCACCATAATAATGAGAAACACAAACACATTGGCTCGAGCGGTCGCCGTGTTTGTCGCGTTGACAACATCACACGCTAACCAAAACAGTACATATGCTGCATGAGACGCGGCCTGTGCCCGCCGGATCTTTGGAAACGTTCGTTACACTATCCTTTACCCAAAATTATATTTACTAAACAAACACCCGTTACAGTGTTATGGATTAGTTTGTTGGCCCGAACATGTAAACTATTGACGTAGAGCAAGAGTCTAAAACATGTGTTATTATAATATGCGAGGCGCAATCGTGGTGTACGCGCTGCCGGCTGATTACCCTCAGCTTCGAACGCAACGACCGCGGCTATTTGAAATCGACAGTGATTACAATTTTCCCTGGAGCTCGGTTGCGCGAGCGCAACGTCCGATGGAAAGCAGCGTTTAACCAATGTTCCGCTCTGATAACTCTCTAATTACGCCTCGACCGTTTTCCGTCGACACTTGGCCGCCACCAACTTAACCCCTGGCTTTTCACTGCAACATTTCACCCGCGATTGTACTGACACGCTCATTTGTTTGCTTCACTTTCGCCTTTGACGTTACTCTACGGTCATATTGTTTCATTAAGCTGAAATATATTGTCGACAATAAATTTCCTACCGACATTGCTTCGCGACGTTTTTGGAGTAGGACACTGATGACTTTTCTTTGTTATTTTTTTTTCCTGCTAGTTCTCCAACGTTTACCTTAAGTAATGTGAACAGGGCAGAGACAATCTCTCATGAAGGACAAATAGTTACTGCGTAAACGCAGTCTTAAGAGTAGCCGGTTATTGCCCACATAGTGAACAATAGGCACTCATATACCACTAAAAGCATTCGTGTGTAATTGTTTACCAACCGTTTGCAGGTAACCACAAGACTTACCGTCTAGTATTATAGACTTTGTCGGCGTGAGCCATTAATTCGAGGTTCCCATCCAGTAAATCTCGTGGTTGTATTACTATTTACTTATCAATGCATTGTATTTATTAGGAAATGTAGTACGTAGTCAGAAAATCGTCTAATACGCATCATGCCCACAAACAGCGCAGTATCAAATAATAATTTGTCCGTTGTATTCCAAAACACAAGTGTTTGCGTGTTTACGATCCCCGGACGAGGCGGAGGCGAATAGAATATACAATGACGTGTCATTCACATCGATTGAGGCCGCATACAAGATGCGGCGGTTCATACATTATGTATAGAGCTCAGCAGTGCTAGCCAAATGCCATTTAGCGCTTGTCTACATGTAGAATAGAAAACCAAATTATATGGAATTGACGTAAATTTTGACACTTGTCAGTGTCATCCCCATACATTTTGATTTCTACTCTCTCTGTAGACAAGCGCTAAAGTGGTTTTTGGCTAGAGGCCCTGGTTCCACGACGAACTGATCTGTTCGGACCTTCATACTGCTTCTCTATCAAATCATCGACTCAATGCTTCTTGGATTGGATAGGAACTTTTCTCCCTAGTTGTTGTTGTAGATTGTTGCGTACATAATAAATACACCCCAGATTGTTCTCGATGTTAAAAATAAATTTAAATCTTAATAGTAACATGAATAGCTGAGCAACGTAGTGCTGTTATCGAACTGACAGACGCCGTTTACTGGCCGACCGTTGCCCCTTGCGTAAAGTGTCGTCAAATAACTTACCGACGATTATTCGTCATAGTGGCGACAAGCGATGGCTGAACAATAGTGCACAATCACCGCGATTGTGGCTGTCGCGCCTGTGTCAACTGCCTCTCGCGTGAACACCAGTATTGTTATGGTGATGCTCTAAAGCTTCAGGTTCGACGCTCCGTGAAAACAAAAGATGCGCAACACATTTGCATCTCTAAACATTACACCTCTAGAAAGGGAATATTGATGGGAATTGGGAAATTTACCGAAATAAATAATTCATGGTAAGGTTTCGTACGACCGACATCCACTGGTCGTTATAAACTCAACATTAAAATTCGACTCACCCCCGGGGGCACCAAAACGCCATTTTAAACCTTGGTTAATTGGTAACATTAACCGTTTTAACATGTAGACCATTAGTGAAAACGAGATGAATCTGAGCAGGTAGACGACCAAACCAGCTCTTGGGGATAGTTTTTTTTTGTTCACATAGTCAGGTACTCGACCCTTCTAGAAAGATTGTGTATTTTTTGTACTGTACAAATACAGCTATGTCATAAAATTACGTTTTACGTTTGTCTTTTATACCTTTTGGCACAATAGTAAAGTAACATTATTGTAAATACTGTTATTGTTACTGTTTAATTAGAGAAAGTAGTATTACATTTTTTAAACGTGAATCGGTATTCATGTTTCCTAACAATTATTTTTGTAATTTTTCAGAACCAATCTCGGCCAGTGCAGACGATGAACGCCACACTGAGCGCGACCCTTGGCCCTGTGGGAGCTGGAGCAGTATCTGGTGCAGTCAATTGGGAACAGCATCCAGTATTAGCTCGCGCCGCTTCCGTGCCAGCTCACCGAGCCCTCGCCGGGCTGCTCGATCGTCTCGGGCACCGCCGGCTCGAGCGCACCACCAGCGAACCCGCGCCACCCCCACCAGCCACAAGCAGATACAAGACAGAACTCTGCAGACCTTTCGAGGAAGCTGGTGTATGCAAATATGGCGATAAGTGTCAATTTGCGCATGGAATGCGCGAACTACGCAACTTGCAACGCCACCCCAAGTACAAGACGGAACTGTGTCGCACATTCCACTCAGTTGGATTTTGTCCATATGGACCCCGGTGCCACTTCGTACACAACGCAGAAGAGGCGCGGCGCCGTGAACCGCCTTCTCCCGGTGGATCCTTGGCGTCCCTGTCGTCTGGCGGCTCCCTAGCCTCCTACATGAGCGACGGCTCGCGCTCCCCGCGCTCGCCCCACTCGCCGCTGGCCCCGCAGTCTCCCCTGGCGCCGCACTCACCTCCTGCAATGTCTCCCCCTGCGCACGCCACGGCATTCGCGTTCCGCCGCACGCAGTCTCCTGACCCTGAAGAAGAACGACTCCCTGTGTTCAATCGTCTGTCATCGGCGTTCGGGGACCTCGTTATCGCCTAGAGCCTGCAACCGTTTAGTCCTAAGTTAACTTATACCGAACATAGCTTAAGGATTGTCCGTCACATTGTGCCTACTCGACGTCTTCCAGCCAGCGCCCGAGCGGCGTCCCGCTCGTCGCGCTTCGCGCACACGCACACCCGCTCAACGAATGATCTCCAGTTGTCGATGCTATTTTGCTACTTCGCCTTGTAATTTATAAAGTTAACGAACGAAGTGTTTTCTGGCGTCTCGAAAGTTTGCGGTGTGAAGTATAGTGGTTTCGTACCTACATTTTTAGTTATCGGCACGCACTTGTAAATGGCACCTTATAATATTAGATATTTATTGTGTAGCTCGCGGAAGTCTTCCCGATGATCCTCCGCCGAGCGGTGGTCTCTGTAAAGTTAGCTTATAGAACATTTTATTTATTTCGTACTGCCTATCCGCGCTCGGTACTGTACCGCGAGAAGGCGCTCGTGATCTATTTTTAAGGGTTTAAGATAATAATTTATTATTTATTTTGAGTCTCTTTAACTGTAATAATTATTTTATTTTGTAACTAGCAGCTGCGATGCCGCACCGCATACGGACGAGGCCTGCGTCGACGGGACGTGGCTCGTTACCATACATAAAGTCGACTGATTCTGCGCCTGAACTCAAATGTTACTTATATTGCATATATTAATTATAACAACAACCGATTTACACGCTACGGGCGGAATCAGTCGATTTACTACTCGGGAGCTCGATGGTCTTGTGGATCAAAGTATTCCAGTTTATTATTCTCGAATAATTATTTATTGTAGTCGACCTCGGCAAGCTAAAACCGAAAGTGCTCATTTGCGGCCGCGTGCCGTACGATAATCTCCGGCTAGTCGACATCGCTAGCGATCTCCTCGGCGGCCCATCTGAGCACTATCGGCACGACTAGTCTGCCGAGGAATATTATTTTTTTTTCATTTTGCCTCGTGCGAGGAGGACGAGATGCGGCCTGAAACCGGTCCCAAGTTTGGGTGATTATTTTCGTAGTGGTCGCGCCGAGTCCCTCTCGGCGCGCGGCGCTCGCGTCCGCCTCGCAAAAAGCATCGGGACCGGAGCTCCCGAGCACTGGCCCGCCGAACTCCCGAGTTGTATCGATAAACCTGTATAAAGATATGACACAATAATATATGAAACATGTTTATACAATTGTTGCCGGCGAGCGGTCGCCGCGCGGGGCGGGGTCGGTGCTGCGGACATGTCGCGCTCGCCCGCGCTCCGCATCAAGTGTGCCTTTTACTTTATTAACGAGATAAATCGATTTATTTAATTTTTAGTTGATCGAGATAGATTATTGTTTATTTATTGTCTCCTTTTGAATATAATATTCAAATTGGCACAGTTATTAGGTACTTTAGTCCTACTTTGACAGAACTAAGTGATTAGTTTCCAAGTAGCATAGTTTTCTTTTGAATTTAAAGTGTGATATTTTATAATATTTATATAAAACAAAGTTTAAACTTTTAATTAAGGGACCAATGTAAGTGATTAGGAGAAATTCTGATAGAATCATCGTACGCTATCGAATCTTACCAAGAGACTGTATCCTCGCGACACATTTGATATTTTTATAACTTGTCAGATCTACGAGTTCTTATAGTCTATTATATTACAATAAAACGACATTTTGACCAATACTGGTTTTGCGTTTGATTATATTATTATTCAGCTTTATAGAACCGAGATGGTATTTTTTATTTTGTTTTACTATTTTTAGTTTCAGTTTTTCTCCCTTTCTAAGCAAGTCGTTCAACAAATAATAATTTTGTACCTAATGTTAAGGAATTTTAGTTTTAAGCGTTCATAAAGATCACGATTATTATTTATTATCAGTTCATTACAAACTATAAACCATTAAAAACTGATTTATTTAATTTCTTTTGTATTTAAACCGACATTTAAGTTGTAACTTGTTTAGCTTAATGTTAGTAATATATCATGAGTCATATAATATAACAGTTCAGTTTAGTTTACGACACTTTTAGTTAAGTATTTAATTTTTACTAATTTAATTCCAATTTTAAGTTCATCTTCCAAAAAATGACTATTACCTACGTATTCTATTATTTTTCTTATGGACAAACAAATTAAGTAGAAAGCTTAATTATGACATTTTTCTTGTAAGTTTTCTTATTTCCATCTGCATTTTTATTGAATTATAGTCAAAATAATGTTTATATTTTGTTTTTTATTTTTTGTTCTCTTATGTTCCCCTGTCCTGAATACCCTAGTAGTGGTTATCAAGTCACTAGTAACGACCATCATGGTCGCAAGTGGGAAAGCCATGTGGCGCTACAAACACGAGGTTTGGGTTCAATCCCCGGATTAGCGATTGCTACTTATTCACTTATCAATTGCCAAGATAACAGTTTGAAATTAAGAACGGCTTTTGTTTCAAATACACAAACAAATACCAGTTCTCCAGTAATAAATACTTGGTCTAAGAAAATATACAATAAATATTACTGGCCTAACCTAACTGATAAAGTACAGTCTGTGTATTTTCGTTCAAGAAATAAAGTTAAAATATTGCATTAAGCATTACATTAATATACTTAGAACAACAATACTGATGAGTTAATAATGAACTCTGAAGACTTGTGCTTACAAAATTCGCGTATAAGTCTTATAAATAACTTCTTTGTTAGGTACCTGCAATTCACATTGAAAATTAGTTATAATCTTGACTGTACACCTATGAATGACTTCTGAATTAGTGTGCGTTACCCAGGCAAAATGTTTTGCTTTAGAGAGATGAGACTTAAACAAATAATTAGTGTATCATGAGGAGCAATTTGTTTACTAATAGCAAAATTTGTTTGAATTGTAGTTTTTAAGTTATTTGAGAAAAACAAATTTTGCTGGA